TGGCTACATGATATATCGGTATTGAAACTTGTAATAGGCCTTGGGGAATCTCAGCTGCATTGGAGAGAAAGTTGAGAAGCAGACGTTCTTTCTGCCCATTTGTTGCAAGTTTACAAAAGAGCGGCGCGAAAGAAAAACGACCTGAATATTTTATGGAGGCTGCTCTCAACTTTTGATTACCTGTCTATAAGTGATCTAGCCGATATCTGATATTAAGTTCGCGCTTCTACGGTTACTCGCCTCGACTGTCGCCTCATTTTTAGAAACTGTCATTTGGTCCACATTCATATTTCATGTTTCAATGCCAAGATTTGAACGTGACTTCACATACGATTTTTTACCAAAAGACTTTTATCTGTATTTTCACTCGCTGACTTTTATACATTCCAACGTTCGCGCCGATGCCAGAGATAGACACCATACTGTTATTATGAGAACACTTAAGGGCTTTTCTTCGCACTTCAACAATCAATTACATTTTTTACTTCAACTTCAACACATCTTGGATTCGATCCTGCAGCCACTTTGCAAACATACAATGCAAAACTTGCGATTCCAAAAGGTGATGAGATTATGATTTAAAATTTTTGAAAAATTGTGGATATTGCTTCAGAAAGAGACAAAACAGTTTGCAATTATACATTTCTAGGAGGCAAACATTTTGCAAATACATATTTTCCTTTAGTTAAAAGTATTTAACCTCATTAATGGAGTTATAAATTTTCTCTTGTGTTTAAATGGTGTGAAAATTCTTGATCAGGCGCACCCAATGAAACTGCCTTTTGTCTGGTGAAATTTAATACATTTCAGCAGTGGTCGCAGCAATTACTGGCCTGTAGTTTAATAAGTTTTACCTCCAATTTGAATATGTGTTAATATTTGCATCGGTTCAGTTGTCATGTACGGTCCACTCTCATGGGATAAACCGTAATTCACGCGAGATGCGGGGCCATTATTGAAATGGACCCCGCAGTGGAGCATCTGGGGAATCTACTTCAATTAGGATCGACAAACTCAAACTAAATATTGGCATCAGCTACCTGAATCAGTGTCCTTCCTGTTGTCCTGTGCACTGTTTGATTACTGGTGCACATTTCAGGTTATCCTTATCTAGTTGGATGCGACAGTCCCAGTTTGATTGATTGCGTTTGACGACTGGAAGCAGCAGAAGTGCGTGCGCCTGTAACAGTCTAGTTAAATGCTGTGCTGCCGTATCAGAAGCTTTACGTGTCTAGAATTGATGATCCACCTAATTAAACTAGCATGGATACTGCCAGACATATTCCAGTGGCAAGTAAAACCGGCATTCAACCCGTCAGCCACTTGTTCTACTGGTTAATAAGCCCCAAACCGCATTATTGGACTGTGGAAAACTTGCTGTATTAATTAATATCGGCCACGTCATTATCAAATTTTACTGCAGGGGAAGGGTTTTCCCAAATTTGGTCAGGGCGAACCTTGAGTATCATAATGTGGCCAAGAGGTTACTTTGTACGCCTTGACGAAGAATTTCTAACAATTAAGATTTTCTGACTTTGTAACGAATGGAAATAGCTTGAATATAATTAAGTACTTCAGGTTTCCAAATATATGTATTTTAAAAATAAACTACATATATTTTGTGATAAAAAATATGTTTTTGAAGCGCTACTATTTCTTTTCTGTTGTTTTTGTGGTAGCATCAAGTCTAAATCAATCTTCACGAGGCTTCTGCAGTTTATTACGTGTGATAGCTTCTTTTCCCAAAAACCAAAATTAAAAACCATTTACCACAACAAAAAGTTGGGGATTGCAGGCATGTACGGCTGACGCAAGTGGAATTTGCGAAAGCGATAGGCTATTATTGTCGATTTAATCGAAGACCGCCGCCATAGAGGCCGATAAACGCAAAATAATGAAACTTTCATAGCAAAAAGCTTTCGATCCATGCCAAATTGAACTTTAATGGCCCATCGGATGGCGTGATACAAAACAAAAGTGCGTTATTCCATAACGAACCGATTAACCGTTTGAAAACCGAACCGCTGCTGGGATACTCTTTTATTTGTGGACACATTAAATTTTCTAAACGGCGTGTTTGGTTTTTACAAAACTGAAAAAAGGACGCTTTTGTTAAGTACCATGAACACCTTTGACACACGATCGCCTATGAATTCCCTCCGGTCTTTGTGATCGACACGGCTTTGTGCATAATTGAAATACGCGCGAGACCGACTTGACAAATGTTTCACAGAGAAACAATCACTCGGAGAATATCTTGACACCTAGGCATTTGCGTACACTTCTGAAATGAAATAGGTACCTTCTGCGTTTCACTTACGCCTCAACGTTATGTCAGCTCTGCAAGATTTATTTGTGTTTGCGTGGGTGTTTACGTTCGCGGTGAACGAACAATAGGGGATGGTTCTAATCCTCGGTAAGGAACGAAGATTCTGCGTGCCAAATAAAACCGTCTTTAGTTCGCTTTAGCAATCCGAAAGTAATAAGTTACAAAGGGAGGTGGACGAGGGGTTGTTTCCTGTCTATTTACTCCGGAATTAGCCAAAATGTACCATTAAAGGATCATTCGTCCAAAAAGAATTATTTACTTTTCGGGGGCTTAATGCTGATGTTTTTATTACAGGAGGGGGAATAGAAACACCTGCAATATTACCATGAAGAATTTCTTAAATCAAAGCAGTTGATAAACTTAACATAGCAAGATGTTTTTACAGCATACCAAATGTCATATACATTTAATTATAATCCGTAGTGAAAAATGCAACAATAATAATTGATTTCAAAGCGACATAGCACGAGTATGTAACAAAGTTTCAATTATTATTCACTGGAAAAACTTTAGGAAAACTTAATTTGGATTGACGTGCTTCTGCAATGCGACAACACTTAATTACAGTCCTGATTTTTTAATGGGCCACACCTCGAGTTTACTGTCTTATTTAGAAGTCGGTGGTGACTTAAAGGTCGCCTTTAATAAATTAGTACCATCTCATAATTTTCAGAAGTAATTCGTTCGTAAAGCGTACACCTGCCGCAAGGAGGACGTAAAGTGGTTTCGGCTACAAAATGGCACTATGTTTGGAAACAATTAAGTAAGTAACTTGTCACAAGCTTTGAGAAAATATTTTATTAAAACCGAAAACAGTAACCTCCAGATGTGCTAAACTCTCACTTTGTTTTACACATACAGCCAAAAGCACGAACTTTGTTTAATTAGTTAACATTTAAGAATCCTGTTTCTTCTTCAAAGTATTAGCTTTACAGGTGATAAAATATATTGCATTTATAGTATGCACACATAATATTATATGCATTATACTTGTTTTAAAACCTACCAAATTGCATTATCTCTTTTGAAAGTTGATGCCACTGGAGATGCCACAATTTAGATTTGTAGCCACGAAGGCAACGATATGAATGTAAATAGTGCATTTGTCGGTTTCACATTTTCATTTCTCGCTCCTTAACTATCAGAGTTTTATTTTGTGCATTGTTCTTTAGTTTATGCAGTGAACTCGTTTTAAATATGTAACCGCAAATTCTGCTCGTGAAATTTTCTACACGAGCTCGTCCACAAATAAATTATTAGCGAAAAAGCGGCCAAAAAAGCAACAGACTGCATAATTTTTTAATGCACTTTCGGATGCATTTGACGACTTTCGTTGAATAAAGCAGCCCGCAACGTGTTGTAGGTCCATCTTCACGAGACAATTTTTTCCTTTCGTTGTAATTCTCCAGTTTTACGGCCTGCTTCGAGAGCTTGATGGAGAATAAACCTCCTTCGCAATTGGCTGGACGCGACTCGGCTCGCCTTTACCTACAATAAAATTTTGACCGAACCCGAAGAGATGGTCCCGTAATTTTACTGCTAAGCTTCTCTCTGGGAGAGACGCTAGGACGATGAATTTTACTCTATGAAATAAAACTGAAATTGCTTACTGAATTATCTAAAAGCTTTGTGGTATATGAGTTTTTACGGCGCGCCGACCTCCTACCTTTATGGAATATTGGAGCAGCATTATAATAAAGTTACTGTGTTATATTGAATTTATTGGGGCGTAAACGGACCCGTGATGATGCCGGAATCGTCTTTTTTTATTCATTATGATGTTGTGGGTTGTAGATTAACAGTCTCGACGACTGTCTCATAGAAAAGTTTTTAGGCGGAATATCTCAAACAGTTTCATTCAAAATTCAAAAAATATTTTTGTGTCTCATTGGAAGCTGTAAGAACGACTGAAAAAATCACATGTCGATAACATGTACTTTTTTATTCAAATCTAATAAATAATTTTCAGAAAGCCTCAAATGACAAAAACATTTTTCACTAAGAAATGTCTTTAAAATTCAAGATAATTGGAATTAATCTGTTCGGAAAAGATATTTTATTTTTGTAGGCTGAATTACAAAATATCTTTATTACGAAATTTTACATTACAAATAATTACCTATACAGACTCAATTCTACATTGTAGAATTGTTTTAATATTAAAATAGTTGAAAGAAAACAGTAACTAGTACGATAATTATTATAGTTTTGTATTATAAACTTTTTTTGAATCTTCCATAAACTTCATCAGATTTTTAGACATGGTATATGGCTTTGAAATTCCATCCGAACAAAGTTTATCTTCACAGAAACAAATAAACAAAGTATCCACTGTGGTCTAAAATAATGATATTAAAAAAATAATACATGCTTACACGCTTAACAGATATTTATTCTACGAGTTTGTGTGTAAATCGGACCCTTTATTTCACGAGTGGATTTTTAAACCACGAATGTTAACGAGTGGTTTATCATTCATGAGGTGGAATAAATGAACCGATTTACATGAAGACGAGTTGAATATACAAAATTTTATTCTTCAAATTAGACTTAACAAGGCTTAAAATTGCTTTAAATCTGATCTTTAAAAGTAATCTAACGTTTCGTATTGAGAAAAACCAAACAATTGTCAAAACTTTCTTACACAGGAAAAAAACCGTAAATTTTGAGAGAGTCGAAGAATAAAATAATTAATGCTTAATTTTACTTACCTCAAAAGTAGAAAAAAGTAAAAAAACAATAAATAGATTAATTAGAAAACTTATAGATATGAAATGTGGCTCTTCCTGAAAGCAATAAAATAAAACGTTATAGTTATCAGCAAAAAGCTACAACCATGAAAAAGACAGAAGCAATTCCAGTAGAAATGACGATTAAGACGAACTGTGTCATTGTCAATACAAAATCTCCTACGGAATTTAAGGCAATCATACTAGCTGCGTTTTTGAGTAAAAGTTTTACACCTTGTTTTCCTGATTTTATGAAGGGTGTTCCTCGAATTGCTGCAGCAGAAGTTGTACAAGTGTTAAAATATTCTTGATACCTACCAGTTTCAATATATGCATTTTTCGATAAATATTTTATAACAGTCGTAGCTGTCTGAAAACAACAGCAACAAGTGGAGCAAGTACAGTAAGTGCAACAACAACTGGGGCCACAAATAAAAACGTATTTTAAGCCTTCAATACGTTTCAACAAAAATTTAATGACACTCATTAATAATACAATAACTGATCCAAAAGTAATAGTTCCAAAATGAAATTTCATAGTATGTATTACGCTTGTCAAAATAATAGAACGCGATGTTTTCCTGAAAAATCAAAAATTAAGCCCGAATTGCTGATTTCTGTCTTACTTTTTGAAAAACCAATGAGCCACGCTACCGGCTGTAATCATGTATTGACATCCTGCAAAAATCTGTAATCCCCAAGCCGCAACAATAAAACTAAATATTATTGTAAATTTTATAGCATCATTTTTTTCAAATTTGTAGTTGTCGTTTCCGTAACTTACAAATACTCCAGCTGTAAACATATATCTTACACTTACAACTAGTGATATCAAAAATACAATTTGGATAACCAAAGTCTGTAAGTAAACAAACGAAAATTTTAAGGAATTTTGACTGAACACTACGTACAACCAGAGGGAGACATAACAGGAACGGTATGCCAAAAATTGCTTTGGCTGTTTCTTTATAGAGAAGTTGAATAAGATGAATTTTTTTAGATAATGCATATAAAATAAATATTATTCCAAAAGTTAAAATAGTAAAAATTATAGCAGGGTATATAAATAATCTCCAAAAAAATAAATATGCTGCCCTTAAATATTAAAATTATTTTTAAAGTAAACCTAAAAAAAAATACTCACCAAAATAAAGTTGATATCACAATAAGCAGAAGCACGCTTAAAATTAAGACACCCCAAACTATCACACCTGGTGCATATCTGAACAAAATCATGATCAGGGTACATAAAACTGAAAAATAGAACCAAAGCTAAATTTATAAATGAATCCTTGAAAAAAATTCAATAAATCAATTGACAGCAACTCAATAAAAAACAGAGAGGAAGATCTGGCGTCATACCTATGGTTATCAAACTTGTCATTAAAAATTTATACCATGATTCAAAATGGTAACTTAAAACGTCCTGAAACATTTTTTTATCAGATTAGGAAATTTATTACAAAATTATTATTTTTACCTGATGTGGATTCATTTTAATTTCTTTGACTGTAGAAAACAACGAATGGTAGCAAACACCATCTTTTTCGTAACTAAAATGTTCATAGATTTGATATAAGGTATATTTCTTTACTGTATGTATTTGAATTCTTTCACTTACTACCCTGGAAGACACATGTCACTTGTACAACTGTGTACATGCGTCAAAATATCATAAGAAATAAAAGGTTTTTTTCTAAGGTCCTTCCCGGAACAATTTATTCCATCGATCTTCATGTTATTATCACCACAAACATTTCCACAACTGTCATATTTGTGATTCAATCTACGCATATCTGCTTTTAAAAAAGTATATATGAGGAAAGGTATCTATTGAGAAATAAGTGTTAATTCGGCCTATTTAGATACAAAAAAAAATTAGAAAACTTACTAAAATTACCACCACGATTCCAAAAATCACTAGTCCTATTTTATCAGTCACTTTTCGATGCTGTGACGATACTGGTAGTCCACTTCTTTGGTCATTGTTGAATTTGAGGAGATTGTTACGTCTAACTCTGTTTTCATTGTCGATTTTGAGAAATATGTTATTCTGGAAATATTTTTTTAAAATGTCGATTTAAAAAAGCACATTGCAAAATAAAAAATAAAGCAATTTTTAAAGAAAACATTTGATGTTGTGTTGTTTCCTAAATAAATATTTGCCAAGTTGTGGAAATTCAATGTTAAATTTTTACACTACAGACAATCATTTCATTAATTTGATAATTTACGAATTACACAATTGGTAGGTATAGCCCATTTAGTGTATTTGTATTAACGGTAGTTAAACTATTTTTTATTTTATTAAACTATTGTACTCGTATCAAGCTAACAAATCTTAATACTAGAATTACCTCAATTTAGTAATCACCATGATTAAAATTGTAGCAATAATAAATTATCATTTTCTTTAATGATGAGACGGGACTAAGAAGAAAATATTAATAAAATGCACTGACCTGGACTGGTTTTCTTAAATTTGACATTCTTGTAATAATTTACACACAAACAATAATGGAGCTATATTTTAAGAATTAGCGTACAGCCGTTAAAAATTTGTAAGCTCACTACTTGTTCATTAAATACCGTTTTGCAAAATCTTTCTTTTATCTTTATGATATAAAATTTGACCGATATTGATTTTTTATAGGCGTGATAGTAATACATGTGTACATTACTAGTGACGTGTAACAAACAAACGCCACAAATATGTAATCTAAATTTTTATTGTGATTTTACATTTTTTTTTAAATACGAAAATCGAAAATATAACAAATAGCCATTCGTTAAACAATATATTTTATGGTGGTTTCTTACTCACAATCCGCTTTTTTCCGGAAGTAAACATACTTTTTCCGGACTTGCAAAGTCTAATAATTAAAAACTGTCTTTTCAAAAAACCACCTGAAACTTACAAAAATTAACTTTAACCAAGCCCGTGTCAATACAATAAATTTGTTGGAGTATAATTATGTGGAAAATATGTGATTTGATTTGTTAAGATAAAATTTTATTGACCCATCCTTAATGTACATTTTTTTCCATTAAATTTTAATGAATATTCTCGCTAATAAGAACTTAATGAAAAAATATTTGGATCCGAAAATTTAATAAAAGTAAGTCACGATTTACATTTACACTCATTCTAAAAATAGTATTTGCAATTTTGTTTTATCTTGCAATGAATTTATTTAAAAAAACATATTAGTCGTTACGTGCTGTTATTATTTTATAATGCTGCAATGATTTGTGAAAAACATTGTTCAGAGTAAAAAATTACACTTGTTAATTTTCTGGAATTGCGAATTTTAACTTTGATCAGTTAAATAATCCTAGTCATCTTAAATATCGAATTAATTGTAAGTAGGTAAGCATATTGGTATTGTTTTAAGTGGAAAAAATGTTTAGCTTTAATCTGAACTGCGACTTTTGGTCGAATAAACATTGAGGGAGTACGGTTGTCGTAACCGTGAGTTACACCCTTAGACCCTTTTATGTTAATATCAAAGACCCCAATTTCAACAAAAGGTAGTGATTCTGATATGAGCTACAACCGTTCGAGTGACCAACTGACTCAGAACCCCTTCGACATAGTCAACTAATAATACAAGGGGTGTGCTGTTTGGCGGGGGAGTTCCCCGATCTCTTCTTGCCCAGTCTGTTAACAAGAGGCGCCTTAGTTTAAACAAAAACGTGGGCGTATGAGATTGGATTAGGCCGCACTGAATCGGGGTTTGTTGTACGCGCGAAGGATGTTGATGCGAAGATATTGATAATCGGATTAGGGTTAAATGGGAATACTTTCAATCGCGGCGTGGAGTCGCGTAATTAATTTGGCGTCTTAGCATTTGCATTAGGCTTCGTTATTTGTTCTGTTGGATGCAAACAACGCAACTGAAAACAGCGCTCTTATCTGCGGGCATATATTTAGAATTCCGGCTGTTAGTACGTCATTCGAAGTCGGAAAACAACGTTATGTGAAAGACGTCGCGGATATGAAGAGGACGAAAACTGAATCAGATTGAATTCAATTTGAATGTTAAAGCAGCCTAGCTGATTATGTTATTGGTTGGTTTAACTCGAAATAGGTGAAGACAATGAGACTGGCATCCGGTCCTTATCGCTCAAGACGGTTAGTCATGTTGCGGCCTGACAGCTAATCCCTCCTGGATTATGCAAACAACAGAGAGCCACGCCGTCGAAGGAAATGTTTATATTCCACGGATTATATTGTCTACAGTTGCGAATTTTGATACGATAGAGAGGCCTCTGCGCCTGTTTTATTTAATCCATATTTACATAAATTTCACTTCATCACGCAACTTGCCAACTAAATTACCGCAGATTCACGCTCGTTTCGGGACCTTAGCTCCAACTTGTTACAACTTTGCCCTCTGGACAAACATATTGGTCGTCCTACAGATGCTCATTCTTACTTCCCTTGCACAACGTTTGACCGTTTGTTTTTCGTTAACGGTACTGTGCAAATCCCGAGCGACGCTAAATCACCACCGAGTCTTTATACAACTTCCAGACTTTAGAAACTCTGTCAACAGGTGATTTTTTCCAGAACAGGCAAACAACTCATACCAATACTCTACACAACACTTATTACTCTCCTTACTATTAGTTAATAAAATTATTAAGTGGGAAGTTTAGTACTGCACCAGCGAAATTATTTAACTCTATGTTCCTAAATACTTGATGTGCAACTACACGAATCTCCAAAACCATTATGAAACGTCAGCAGTAAACTGAATAATCAACAGATGTCTAGCTGCATTCAAACAAAGACTAAACACAAATGGAGTGACATCAAAGAAAAGTTAGGCTTCTATTGCAGTGTTGGAATATGCTTATAGGGAATAGATATCTATTCCAATCAAGTATTGATAAACAACTAGCTTAGAACACCTGATAAAATGCTATCAATCTTTTATTAACAAGCTTTTACAATTTAAGTTAGACTATAGTTCCAGAATTATGAGGGTCGTATAGAGAATAAATTTCTGCAGTATGGTAAAACAATACAGTACAAGAAAAATATAAAATGTTTAGTTTATTGAGCCAAGATATCTTTCTACAGAAAGATCTAGAAGGTTATAACCTTCCTTGAAATACACTGAAAACTTATGAAGAAATACGACTATTTAAGAAGTAATTAAATACATATATGACTAAGAATAATTTTTGCTAAAAACTTACATCTGAGTCGTTAATTCTCTAAAACTTTTTTTTTCACAACGTTACATACTGGTATTTTCAAAATAGGTAAAAACAAAGATTTTTCTTAAAACTAAAAAAGGAAAAAGGGGTGGTGTACTGTCCTATTCTGTTAAAAAGTGTAGAAAGGTATTTCTAAGCTTCTATAAATGACACACTACTAGATATATCTAATTAGACAACAAAGCTATGTTTTTTTTTTTTTTGGAAAAAGTTTATTTAGGTCCTTACAAACTTAAAACTATAATTATCTTCATCTATTTGATTCAAAATTTTCTCAAAGTTTTTTTTGTAAACCTGAGGAAATTAATATTTGCTTATGCCACGTGAGGGCTGAATCCTCCACCACAATTCGTTCATCTCTCCCAAACTTTTGTTTTATCGAATACATTAGGAAGTTTGTCGCGTCTTTCTCTCCCCTCGAAGAAACTGGAAAAACATAATCTGTCCGGGAGTAATCAAATCGAGCCCAATTTCCATTTTGTTCCGGGTTACAGTTTTCCGGTTATTCATATCGAGTTAATCCGGTCCCGGATAATGGCACATGTGGCGCGTGCTCGAGCCGGTTAT